GAGGAAGATAGCTGCCCAGAGAGAGCAGCAGCAGCAATGGAGAAGAAATGTAGAATGAATGGGAGTTAGGGTTTTGGGATTACCTCAGTCCTTTATATAGAAGTGCAACATTTACCTGAAGTTCCCAAAGTGCCCCGACCGACTAACTGTAAATGTCCAAAATACCCTGGTCAGTTCGTATTCTGCCCACTTCCTAGTCAGCATCTAGATCCTTCCTTAGCTTTCTTCTTATCCTTAACTTTCTCTTAATACGCTGAGGTGTATCAAAGCTGTCGAGAACTATAAACTGCAAGATCCCTTCAGTCGGCCTGAGATATCAACTCGAGTCGACTGGATCGTATTCAATCACTAGTGGATCCTGATACGTCTGACCATCATCTTGGCAGAAGTCGACTTATGTTAGTCGACATGTGTACGTCGACTCAGACGAGAGCCGGGATCCTTGACCGTGAGTATCGTGAAGAGCCTTACTGGAGGAGTCGACTTTGTTAAAGTCGACTTGATAATTTCTAGACCGTGATGATACGAACCGTTATGAGCCAGTGTGGCTATATCATCTAGTCCCCCCCAAAAATTACTCGAAGCGATTCTGAGCTTAAGAGTAAGTTCTGGGCGGTCGAATGTCTTCCTCGAGTCTTTTCTCATATTCTGTCGCTTGTCGTTGCCCTAAATTGTACCCGGTTGTTTCTGCGACTTGCGAAGTGATGTTTACCCAATTGTATTTCGAATTGATTGGATAAGTCTGGATCTTTTCAAATTTCAAATTTCAAAAGATAAGACACTTTCTCTCTCCATCGCTTCGTATTCTGTGCACCATCTTAGCCGTTGAAAATGACTTTAATCTGAGGGCTGGGGTTTCTCTGCCCTTTCTATAAATAATCCTCCCCTTTTCTCGTCCCCACTTTTCGCACTCACCTTCTATGAGCTTTCTGTTTTCTCCGGCAAACACAGCTTTCCGGCGTTCTTACTTTCCGGCGTCCTTCTCCGATTTTCCAGGACTTTCCGTCATCCATCATGAGTATGAGTAAGTTTTCTTTGCCTGTTCGACTTGTTTTCGTGTTTTGCGATAAGAACGCTTTTTATTTTTCTGGGTAAATTGTCTGGGAATAAGAACATCTTTCATTTTCTGGGAATTGCATGTGAATCTTCTGGCGATTTTCCTGTTAGATCTTTGATTGTAGGTTTTTCATCTCTTCAAGAGTTCTCCTTTGTTAGTCGTCTTGTTATGAGAGATCGACTCTTTTCCTTTCCTGTCTTGACCTTCATTTGTCAAGTCGAATCGATATGGGGAATACTTTTCTTGTTTCTTCTCCCTTTCTTCCCGTTGTCGAGACGCTTCTCGTGATATCCTGGTTATTTTGTTGACCCTTATCTCTTTGAATCGAATCACGGTTTTTAATAACTTTTCTTGATTGCCGTTCTCTTTTTCTTATTAGATTCCAATCTCGACCCTGTTTCTGACCCCGTCTGTTCTCTTGCCCGTGAAATCGATAACTATTCGAGTTCGGACTCTGTTCACCCAAACGATGTCGAGCCATGTTCTCGTCGAAACGCCGAGCCGGAGGATTTTTTCCATTCACATGCCTCACCTTTCGGTATCGATTGGGCTGTGTACAATCAGGCGTTGCTTTCGGGCACCCTTTGTGAGGATCCCGAAGTTCTCCAAACCCTTGAATCCTCTTACCCCGACTTGGCTCCTCGAGGTATTTTCCGCTAGATTCTTTCGGACATCCTCATATACGCGGCCAGCCTTGTTCCTTTACTTGATAATGACTTTCCTTAATCGAGTCTGCAACTATAGCATGTTCCGTGGTAAAGTTCTTACTATCGTTTTCTTACTCCTGCAGCCGAAATCGATGGCTTCAGAGAGTTCAGCGGCCTTCCCTCGGATTGGGCTGTAGTTGCTCCTAAACCCGAAGACGACTTTCGTCGCCCTCCCAAGGGTTGTTTCACTTTTTTCGTGGATCAAATAATGTTGGGCCTGCGTTTCCCGATTCAACCTGAGCTGCAATCGTTAAGTAACCTTTTCGATATACCAATAAACCAGTTCACCCCTAATTCTATTCGAATAATGGTAGCCTTCATAGTTGTTACCCGCATAGTTTTAGGTAATTTTCTACCCGAGTTTTTCCTTTACTGTTACGGGTATAGGTTTAGCAAGGACGCCCATTGTCTGGGCCGTCGAGTAGGTGTTACTTTCCTTGACGACCTCTCTTCCAACATTACTGAATGGAAAAAGAAGTACTTCTTCATTCGACCTGCTCCTGGCCAATATCCCTTTTCGAATGAGTGGATTACCAATAAGACAAAGCAGCGTAAGCGTCCCAACTCTTCACAGTTTGCTGATATGCTAGAAAAGTTAAACAGACACGTATGGAGCGCTCGTCGACTTACCAAAGATACTTCTTTACTTAATCATGTTGGTATTTGTGTTGATAAAAGTGCTCCTCGTCTTAACGATCCTTGTAAGCTTCT